ACATGCATATGCTCTCAGTACATAAAAGAACACTTTCTCACATTGTACATTTGAGTGCATTGTGACGTCACAGCAGAACAAAGGGAAGTCCTAAAGCTTCCCTTTATTCTGACATGACTAATCATGTGGGCCTGCAGACCAGGGGGATATCCGATCACGTTTAAACACAGACAGCATGCTTCATTGTCAGTGAGGGCTTGCCAAAAAAGCTGCATGCACAAAGACACAAATATGTGGAACTTCAAACTGTTTTCGAAGCACAAAAACATTCCCAAAGCCTTTCTGCCACAAGGTTTCACAACATCATTTTTCACATTCCAAACATCCCACGTCTGGTCTCAAAGTTTGCCTTCCTTCCTGAAAGGCACATGAAGAGAATGACAGAAGACTCTTTAAATAAGCTTCATATTACCCTTTCAAATCAACTGAATCTTACAAGCCTCATATATGAGTTTCAAATGTTTGGTGTTCTCCAGATTCGGTACAGCTCTCTTGATTGAAGGTTCAGTAATCACAGGCATCTCTGTTCAGGAATGTCCAGAGCAGCGGTTATTTCAGGGCAGATTTCCTTCATCTAGACTTTATGTGTGGCCTCGCCAAGGATGCACAGCCTTCTGGGACGACATTTAACTCTAACTGAGCTCATTTAAGCAATTCCAGTGTTTCAACTGTGCAGAAATGAAGCGTTCAAATACTCACCACACACACAAGAGTTTATCTGATCAAAGAGCACTGGCAGAATCACATAGCAAGGGTTTCCTGAACATGTCTCTGGCATACTGATGCCCAGTCACCCTTTACGATACTCCCAACCACACAGGAAGTACTATAGAGAAGCTAAGAGAGGGTACGAAACTCTGAATATGCTTTACGTCCAAGTGGTGCACTCCACACTAACTAATGGGGCTGCAGTGTGTCATTTCTGTGCCACCAAATGGATTTCCAATCTTTGTGTTTTGAGTGGTCCGACACAGCAACACAGGCTCAACCAATGGTGTGGGTTTGGTAGACCGTTTGAAACCATTATTTTTTGTTGCCAATAATGGCACAGAAAGTTCACAATGGAAGTTACTTCCCCCTTTGTTGTAGCTCTCAAATCTCATTCACACTTTTACATACTCCAACTTGGCAAGTTACATTCATGTATGAGAGTCCCAGTTAACTCCTGGACAAACGTGACTTCAGTTCCCTGGATAAAACAATCTTTTTAATAATTCCAGGAACCATGCATTGGGCCTAATGAATAATGAGGTTTGGTGACCTGTCACAGAACACAACATTGGTTAGTCAACTACAGTTGGATAGTTGACATGGCATGATAATATATTCCATCTCAAAACTATTATAAGCAGATTATTTTAGCATTATTATGCATCCAGACTAAATAATGAGAGACTATATGGAACATTAGTTGAACTTTTAAAGGAACACTCCACTATTTTTGAAAATAGGCTAATTTTCCAACTCCCCTAGAGTTAAACAGTTGAGTTTACTCTTCTGTAGTTACATCGTGTACGAAGACCAACGGAAAATGAAAAGTTGCGATTTTCTAGGCCGATATGGCTAGGAACTATGTTCTCATTCCGGTGTAATAATCAAGGAACTTTGCTGCCGTACCATGGGTGCAGCAGGCGCCTGAAAATAGGCTAACTTCCGTCAACATAACCAACGTGACCACCTGCTTGCACAGGGAGCGTGCTGGGGAAAAATATATATATATATTATGACTATTTTCAGCAGCAAAGTTCCTTGATTATTACGCCGGAATGAGAGTATAGTTCCTAGCCATATCGGTCTAGAAAATCGCAACTTTTCATTTTCCGTCGGTCTTAGTACACGATGTAACTACAGAAGAGTCACGTTTAAAATAGGAAAAATATAGAAACTCTTTGGTCATTTTTGAGCGAGATGCTAACGGTCAAATCAGATTCAGTGATCTATGCTAAGCTACAGCTAAAAGTGCTACCGCCAGACCCGGAGATCGGCTGAATGGATTCGAAAACGGTAAAACTCAACTGTTTAACTCTAGGGGAGTTGGAAAATGAGCCTATTTTCAAAAATAGTGGAGTGTTCCTTTAAAGGATAAAGAATTTAGGCCATTCAAGATGTAGATGAGTTTGTTTCTTCATCAGATTTGGAGAAATGTAACATTACACTTGCTTAACAATGGATCCTTTGCAGTGAATGGGTGCCGTCAGAATGAGAGTCCTGATAAAAACATCACAATAATCCACACCACTCCAGTCCATCTTTAACCCGTTGCTTTTGGCCAAAATACAAGTCCATAACCCATGATTTTGCTCTATCCAGTGAAAAATTCCATCCCCTGTTGTCTCTCACATCAAAATCCACACACATATTTGTTTACGACTGTTTTGAACCATTTCCACTTGTAAACGGTGCTTGATCTGTGCATATTTCAGACAAGACGACTTTTTGGAGAAACTAAAAGTATAGACAAAGAACTCCACAGAAAAGCGTCTTAAGGATGGATCTGTTTCTTACAAAAATGCAGCTTTTCCCTTTACAAGATGTTAATTGATGGACTGGAGTGGTGTGGATTACTTGTGGATTATTGTGATGTTTTTATCATCTCGTTCTTGACGGCACCCATTCACTGCAGAGGATCCACTTGTGAGCAAGTGATGCAATGCTACATTTCTCCAAATCTGATGAAGAAACAAACTCATCTACATCTTGAATGGCCTGAGCATGAGTACATTTATAGCCAAATTCAATTATTTTAACTGCATGAAAACAAACGCCATTTGACGTCAAACCCTATAGAAATGCATGACGTACAAGCACAAATGAGATTTAAGCGCTGCAGTGAAGGGGAAGATTTTCAGTGAATATCTAATAACACAAAACATCATACGACTTCAGAAGATTTGAAAACTAACGCACAAGTCGTGAGGACTAATTTGCTGGTGCTTTTTTCCAAGTCTTTTTAGATCTTGGCGGTCCCTAAAACTGTATACTGTTAGAAAAGAGGCCGATTTTCTCCATTTGTGTTTTGCTGAAGAAACACTTTAAGACAAAATGAAATCAATGATCATTTTACCCTTCGAACATGTGAACCTAAAATGGTCTCATATCCTTATGGCTTTTACAGAACTCTTCTGAATTCACATGACGTCAAAACTTTCACTTCAGTGTGATTTAGTTCAGTAAAAGAGTCACACAGTAACTGAAAGCAGTATTCAAAGCACAAGACAGCCGGAGCTATTTTAAACAGCAACGTGGCTATTCAAACAGTGTGGAATGTGAGAGGGTGTGTGGTGATGTGTTCCTGGCAGTGGGATGGTTTTCATTTATACAGGAATGCTCACGTGAAACTTTTGCTGAGCCACAGTAAATAAAGCGAAAGACAGAAGAGCAGTGTGGAAGACAAGCCCATATGCAAACAAGATTTTTACATTTCCTGATGGAAATATGAAAGGTGGCTGCCCATGCAAAACCTGCCACCATGACGCTTGTGTGCACTGGGTGGTTGTTTACTGGCCTAATTGCCTGAAGACTCCGATCTCTAGATATGACTCGGGATCCCTCTGTAGGAGTCTATGGGATTTGTTTGTTTTTTTTAAACTGTATATCATACACCAGGTGAAAATAATAAGGCTATAATAATCAATTAGTAAAGTAACCAATATGCTAAATAAAAAATTATAATAAGTTAACCAATTATAAAAAAAAAAAATAGTATTATAAATATATGTAATATATATATTTTCATATATTTTATATACAAATAGGCATACATATTTTGAATTAGCTTTTATGTTTTATTTTGTTTTCATTTTAATTTTAGTAATTATTTGATTTGTGCTTTCATCATTTTTTTTATTAGGTATTTCTATATCCCTTTAATAAATATCAGTTTCAGTCATTTTAGTAATTCAACTGAAACTGAATTTTATTTCAGTTAGCTGCCAAAGCAACATTCCTCATTTTAAAGTTTTGTAAAAAAAAATATATATATAAAAAAAAAAAATTCATATACTAATATTCATCTCATTTCAATGACTAATTTTTTTCTCTCTCAGTTTTCGTTAACAATAACAACAGTGAAGGTAACAGCACACCTCTTTTCAACAAGATGCATGATTTGAGGAATCATTCATGTCCTGGTGCAGTTATTGTGGCAAAGTTAATACTTATGTGTAGTGACTTAAACCCCTAAACCTAAATATGAGCAATAGTAAAGGGGCATTCACATGTACAATGATTTGCACCAAAGAAGTGACTGGAAGTCATTCTTTTTTATGCGAATTAATGATTTCTAAGCAGATGACAGAGTTAAATCTTACAAAAATGAGCAGTGACAATATGAAGACTATCAATGACGGATCCTGCAATTTAGTAGATGTTACATGTGTGAAAACTCCTTAATATTAATGTTCACTCTGGCAACAAAATCCCCCGCAAAACTAACAAAACCAGAGCAGAACAAGTTTCTTTTATTTAATAAAAGCCAGGCATACTTTATGAAAACCATTTCTTCAAGTCATATTTATTGACTGAATTATCATAGGTACAAATATTATTACAAACTATGTACATGTCAAAATATGGATGAAGAAATCTGTTTCTCCAGCACTTCAAAGACACTATCATGTGATAAAGAAGGCACACTTATTATGTAATCTCCGCAAACTAATGGTAGTTTGAAGGTGTTTACAAGCCAAGTTTTCTTTGGGAAGCGGTTTCAAACTCCTAAAATGAATTCCAAACAAGCTTTGTTTTGGCCTGATTTTGTTTGAAATTACGTCACACTAGTTCGCTTCAAGTATATCAGGGCCTTAAGTGTAGTCCATACGACTCTTGCACTATATTTCAAGACTTCTGAAGCCATGTAATAGCTTTGTGTGAGGAAGAGACTGAAATTTAAGTGGAATATTTTTTATGGTGCCTTTAGAGCTTCATTTTGGGTTTCACCGAACTAAGAAAGTCACACCGGTTTGGAATGGCATGAGGGTGCTTATTTTCCTTTAAATCATTCAACAAGAAGAACCCCGTTTTCTCAACAGACCAGTGGTTAGCTTCTGTTTGAGTGTGATCGTACCTTCCAGGTCAGACGCCACCATGTTCTTGAGGCTGGGGATGGAATGGTAGACCAGGAAGCAGGCTAACATGCTGACATCAGTGTCGTTGTTCATCGACTGCCTTCTCAAGTACGCTTGCAGCACGTGACTGTTATCTGTGAGTTAAGATGGACAGTTTTGTTTGCTTAATAGTTAAGGATTCAAGCTTAATGAAAAAAAATGTACGTATGCATCTGTATACATACGAATAGAAGTGAATAGAACGCAATGTCTAGTGTGGCTACACCTTTATACTCACCGACTGAATCTCACAAAGAAATGTCAGGGCCATATTTCATATTTCTGTTTTTTATAATAAACTACATATTTAAAGAATTATTTCGTTTGAATAATACATATAAATTAATACATTTATATTAAGGCATAATTATTTTAGAATTATAAAAATCCATTTATTATTAACAAAATTATATATTTTTTTAATAACTTGATTTTGTGCTGGAATCTGGTCTGGACATGCTTTTGACAGGTTTCATGAATCTAACAAAGAAATGTCTGGGCTATATTTCAGACAAAAATAAAATAAAATGTTTATTTTATAATAAATAATACATAATTACTTTGTATTTAAATAAAAATTAACTAACACATACATATTGATAAATAATTATTTTATAATTATAAGAATAAATACATTGATTATTATTATTATTATTAAAACATTATATTTTGTACAAAGAAAATGAAGCGTGGTTTTTATGACCATTAAGATGCAAATTGCAAACATTTTAGTTCTCAGTATTGTAATGTAGTAATATCATTGTTCAATTAAAATTAGAACAAAGCCAGTATAATATAATACTTCAATGATAATTATAAATATATTAATAATTAATAATAATTTATGCATTTAGTAGACACGTTTATCCAAAGCGACTTACAGTGCATTCAGGCTATACATTTTTTACCAGTATGTGTGTTCCCTGGGAATCGAACCCACGACCTTTTGCGCTGCTAACGCAATGCTCTACCACTGAGCCACAGGAAATTATTTAGAATGTGTTTTGCATTTACAGTAATGAGAACTGAAGACAACAATGTAAACATAAACTGATTGGTTCTACAGTTAGTAAGATTTCCCCCCGTTAGCCTTTAAGTTACCAACCCTGCAGAGAACAGACATGACTACAGCCTTTCGCACTTGCTGAAGGTGTTGACCAAAACAAGAAACACATGCAAGACCCAAATGCTGACTGGATGAGCTGACACAGAAGCTCTAAAATAGAAATCTGAGTAAGCATATGAGCCAATGATGCTAGATGCTGACGGCTGTGTCATGTATCTCACCACAGAGCCAGCGATCCAGGGCCCGGTCGGCTGAGCTCTTCATGACGGGCAGGAACTCAGAGCTGAGCAGCAGGCAATCTGTGCTACAAGACTAGAGAAAACAGTACAGAAAAAGGGCTATGGGCAAAAAAAGTAGGACAACTTCCACACCCATAATGCACTGGGCTCGATCAAACTATCCATGAGCGGAGATACAAAAGCACTGAAGTATGATCTTTAGTTTTCACAAAAGCCCTGATAAGATGAGTTTTATGCATGTTATGTCAACTTCTGCTGACAAATATCAAATATGGTTTAAATATGACATATGGTTAAAAAAAGCAAATGTACCCTTTAAAATAAGCAGCTTTACAGTATTAAACATGAAAAAGTAGCTCTTCAGTGTGTTCATCCTTTTACTGGCATCTAACTGATTTCCATGTCAAGGAAGGCACACTTATTATGTAATCTCCGCAAACTAATGGTAGTTTGAAGGTGTTTACAAGCCAAGTTTTCTTTGGGAAGCGGTTTCAAACTCCTAAAATGAATTCCAAACAAGCTTTGTTTTGGCCTGATTTTGTTTGAAATTACGTCACACTAGTTCGCTTCAAGTATATCAGGGCCTTAAGTGTAGTCCATACGACTCTTGCACTATATTTCAAGACTTCTGAAGCCATGTAATAGCTTTGTGTGAGGAAGAGACTGAAATTTAAGTGGAATATTTTTTATGGTGCCTTTAGAGCTTCATTTTGGGTTTCACCGAACTAAGAAAGTCACACCGGTTTGGAATGGCATGAGGGTGCTTATTTTCCTTTAAATCATTCAACAAGAAGAACCCCGTTTTCTCAACAGACCAGTGGTTAGCTTCTGTTTGAGTGTGATCGTACCTTCCAGGTCAGACGCCACCATGTTTTGCGCTGCTAACGCAATGCTCTACCACTGAGCCACAGGAAATTATTTAGAATGTGTTTTGCATTTACAGTAATGAGAACTGAAGACAACAATGTAAACATAAACTGATTGGTTCTACAGTTAGTAAGATTTCCCCCCGTTAGCCTTTAAGTTACCAACCCTGCAGAGAACAGACATGACTACAGCCTTTCGCACTTGCTGAAGGTGTTGACCAAAACTGTTTTGCATTTACAGTAATGAGAACTGAAGACAACAATGTAAACATAAACTGATTGGTTCTACAGTTAGTAAGATTTCCCCCCATTAGCCTTTAAGTTACCAACCCTGCAGAGAACAGACATGACTACAGCCTTTCGCACTTGCTGAAGGTGTTGACCAAAACAAGAAACACATGCAAGACCCAAATGCTGACTGGATGAGCTGACACAGAAGCTCTAAAATAGAAATCTGAGTAAGCATATGAGCCAATGATGCTAGATGCTGACGGCTGTGTCATGTATCTCACCACAGAGCCAGCGATCCAGGGCCCGGTCGGCTGAGCTCTTCATGACGGGCAGGAACTCAGAGCTGAGCAGCAGGCCGTGGCCCTGACGCCGTGTGTCTCTGAGCTGCTGCTGCAGGACTCGGCTCTCACACAACTCCAGCACCAGCTTCATCTGCCACAGACTGAACGTCTCACAGAGATCGCCCCGCTCCAGAGTCCGCACGGCCTACGGAGAAGTGTACAAGTGTGTTAAGGGTCTTACGGGGCATTTAACTTGTATAATCAGGGCTTAAAGGGATAGTTCACCCCAAAATGAAAATTTGATGTGTATCTGCTTACCCCCAGGGCATCCAAGATTTGACTTTGTTTCTTCAGTGGAACGCAAACTAAGCTTTTTAACTCAAACCGTTGCAGTCTGTCAGTCTTATAATGGAAGTGAATGAGAATCACGGCTTTGAGAGTAAAAAAAAAACATACACAAACAAAACCAAATTAAACCCTGCGGCTCGTGACGATACATTGACGTGTAAAGACACAAAACGATCGGTCTGTGCAAGAAACTGAACAGTATTTATATCGTCTTTTTACCTCTGATGCACTGCAATGTCTGAATTGTCTCACTCTTCTTCAGCTTGCGCCTGACTTTCGTCGTCTTCTTGCTTTACGGCGGATTGCAGACTTATAAGTGCATTACCGCCACCTATCTCTCAAATGGACCATTGACACTCCTAATTGAGATTGTAGATAAGAGTGTCAATGGTCCATTTGAGAGATAGGTGGCGGTAATGCACT